GAATACATTTGGGTTATTACTAATTTTTCTAATGGAATTTTTTATAGGTCAAAATGACATTTTATAGCTTATTGTCCTACATTTCGACTTTTTTTACGTTCCAAATGTACATTTTTGCGCATATAAGGAGAGTCGATTTTATTTAGAGAAATTATTTCACGAAATTTCTTGAAATTAAATATTTGAGTTCTGTTTACTAACGGAACTAATTAACAGTCGAGCTTTTCAAAGAATTTAGATGCCACAGTAGATGAGTGTCTACTAATAGTCAAATTTATACTTTTAACTAAAAGCTAACTAGCATTTTTAAAATTTAAAAGAAATGTTTAAAAAACATTTTCATAATCTTGCACAACCGACCGACGTGTTGCGATCGGTTATGTTCTTATATTCACATAAGATTTTTTATATTATCTCAATACTGATTCTTTGCGCACATTCCAATAGTTAGTGGGTAAATCCTCTATTATTTTTAATTTCTAGCAAATTGAAAATTAATTTGATTTTAAAATTGTAAACAAATTAAATTTTCTTTCTGAGCCCCTAAAAGTTTGCAAATTTACAATAAAATGTATACAATTATAACTCAATTTTATCAATTTAAACGGAAAATATTTTCAGAATCGCTTTTGTTTTGTCGTCTTCTTATAAATTTTCTTATAAGTGTAGCACTTTCATATCGCATTTCTATCCTATTTTTAAGATTTCATACACATACACTCAAACAAAATGATTGAAATTTTATCAAAATATTTGAAAAACGAAACGTGCTGTGAAATAAAAATTACCAAGTTGGTTCAATGAATTTTTATACGGTATCATTTTGATTTTCTATATAGAAGAAAAAAAAATAAAAAAGCGCAAAAATAATAAAAAAATTTTTTTTTAACCAAAATAAAGTTATTTAAAAATATTTCCGTAAATAAAGAAAGCGTTAAAAGAAAAAAAAAATCCTTTTTATTTTTATACTTTGACAAAATGCAAAAAAATTAAAAAGAAAATCTCATGCTTCTTTTGTATTTCTTCTACTACTTCTACTTCGTCATCTTCATCTTCTTCTATACTGTCACTTATTGTCAATAAATTCAAGGTAAAAGAAATTTCATTAGGCGCCAATAATTTCAGATTTTTTCTTTTCTCATTTTTTTTACAGCAGAATAATAAAATAAAAGTATGTGTACAGTAGGTTGAACAAAAGGACTAAAACAAATTTGTAGCTTTATTTTTTTTTGTACCTTGCATATATTTGCGTACATAATATACGGGTATTGTATAGATTTCCCCTAAGTGTATGCTATATAAGTATAAAATATTTTTTTTTTTCATTTTTATTCATTATTTTGTTGCAAAACAAAAAAAAAAAAGAAACAAAATTCCAAAGTAAAATTTTATTATCTTGTTGACAAACAATGACGACATCTTAAAAATGAAGAGACAGGTAAAAATTAGATCGTGGCATCGAGAACAAACAAGAGAGTTTCACATTTTTGTTCTTATACATTTTGATAATAGAAGAGGTTTGTATGGATTGAGTAACGGACTTTTCGAATAATTTTCTTACTTTTTACTTGTTCTGATTTTCATTATTTTTTTTTTTTGGGATAAGAAAGAAGAAAATAAAATAAATTTGTTGTAAATAAACTTGAATAATAGCGATATTTTGTCTTTTTTTTAAATATATTTATTTTTCGGTATAACGTAGCCGTTTTATTCGGTATGTACATATGTAAGTACATATAGAGAACTTTAACAAAAATAAATTTATTCTCTATACCCATACAGAAATTTATACAAAATTAGATTTATATAAAGGAATTTTTCCATTTTCAGTGTAGGTGTTAAAAATATAGTTTTGTGGTAGGAGTTTACAAAAAAAAAAAAAAGAAAAAGAAAAAAAATCCATAAAACTTTAATTTTCTGTTTTTCATTATTTTTATTTTTTTAGCACATTTCGGATTAAATGTGAAAAAATGCGCTTATTAGTTTCACTCTGCTCGTACGTCCGTCAGCCCGCGTGTCTGTTTACAGAACTTTTAAACGCTTTAAGAAAGAAAGCTTATATTTTATAAATAAATAGATTTGTGCTAGAAACTTATTTCTGTAAAAGAAAATTTTTACACTATCCCCGCCCCCTCCTCTTTGAAAGTTCAAGAGTTATGCGTTAGCTACATTAATATTTACCTATCTAATAATAGTATAACTTTTATCTATCTTCCACCAACAAAGTTTAACAGCACCAAGTCATAAAATGCTATTGTTTCACTGTTTATTGTAACGATATAGTATAGTATATATATTATGCGGTATAGTTTAGTTAATCTTAAAAACAGCAAACTGATCGTTAAAATTTGTTTTTTGAAGTTGATAACGTTTTTCTTTCAGACCATAAGCTGAAAGACTGAAATTTTAACAGCTCTTCTTTGCAGCAATTCATTTTGCTAGAAGAGCAAAAGACGGAAAAAGTTTTGCCAACAGAAAAAAAAGTATTTATTTTTTTTTTAACTGATAAAATTCACCATCAATAATTCGACTATTATTGGCTATCTTCTTTACCCAATTTTTGTCGTGGTCCTAAAAGTATGCAATATTTACAACAATTGCATATTATGAAAATAATTAAAATTCGAAAAGTAAGGATTATTTTTTTTAGAAAAGTCTACTTCTTCTAGCTAAATGTGCTACTTAGAAACCATTTGCTTAATTCGATTTTATCTTTATTCAACAATGAACATTTTTCGCGTAAAAGAATAGAAGCAGTTCTACTATTTTTGATATTATAAGTTTCAAGGTATTTTGTTTTCATTTTTACGAATATTTAATATTTAAGTAAGGCATTTGTAATGAAAAATTAAAAGAAAGGTATGAATTAAATGAAAGCTATAAGACGGACACCTACATACGAAATATAAAAACTTTTTAAAAGAAAAGTAAAAAAAAAAATATTCAAAATTATATAATAATAAAAAAAATAAAATTTAATACTGTTATATAATTTATTTTTGTATTACACTTTCGACAAAAACTTTTATTTATTTTTCTCTTATAAAAAATTCTTTCAAAAATTTTTCAAATACATAAATTAAAATTTAAAAGAGAGAAAAAGTTGAAATGAGAATTATATGAGTAAGAGTGGAGAATTTTTAAAAATGAATATGGAAAATAAGAAAATACCTTGGAGATATCAAAACTTAGCACTTCAATAACAACAAAAAAAAAAAAAGAAATTTCTCTTTTTAGTTTGAGTTTATTTTGTTGCTTTTTTATTTCTTAAATGTGTTCAATTTTATAGCTGTCATTAAAATTTATTATTTAAGTTTGAAATATTCTTCAAAAATTTATATATATATATTTTGGGGATTCAGAACATATGATTAGTTTTGGTTGTGGCAGGTTTACGATAAATATTCTTCTAATTATCCGAATATATTCTTGTTCGGAGTTTCCCAAATCATATTTGACCATGTGCGTTCGGTGTGTTTTGATTAAAAATAGCAACAAAGTTGTTATATCTTTAACCCTTATTTATATTTTTCATTTCTCATTCAGAAGAGAACACAATATAAGAAGACTTCTTTTTAAAACGTAATTCTTATAGTGAAAAGTACAAAGTTTTATTGAAATTTTTGTAAAAATTAAATTTAAGAATATTAAAAATTTTTAATTTAAAAATTTAAGAATAGGAGCTTGTTTGAAAAATATTTTTGCACATACATCCATAAGTTAAGGATAAAAGTTCATTACCAATCAGTAATTTTGAAGGCTTATTTGGATACTGTTTTAAAAATATTTTCAATTTAACATCCTTAATTCCATAAAAATTGAGAAAGGGCAGGAATAATAAGTTATCAGAATATTATAACCACTCATCATTGAAGGGGAAACGCAGCGCGATGCCAAAAAGAAACTACATAATCAAGACTTCTTCTTCAAGTGACTCTTCGTCTGCCATTCTCAAAGGTACTACTGCTTCGTCCGAATATGTTTTTCGGCAATAGCTATTTCTTCTTAACATATTTTTAAATTTTTATAATAAGAAACAAGATATTGGTTATTGGGGCATTATACTACTAAGGTTACCTTTGACATTTAAAGCCCACAGCTTGTCAAATTTTTATGGTTGTCTTATATATCTAGCACAAACGTTTCTTTTTTAACTGAGTTCATCTACTTGTATCAAATTTTATATAACATACACACATTTTAAGTATCTAGCTATAGACAATATATGAAAAAGAAAGAAATCAGTGAAAGAAAATTTTTATCCTTATAAATTTTGGAATTAAAAAAAATTTCTTTGAGCTAATAAATATTAATTCTATATTTATAGAGAATATATATACAAAATATTATATTAATCGGATTGTATAACAAAAAAAAACTTATATATATATAGTTATAATAGTAAATCCTATTTAGAAATAAACACACACATTTTAATCTATAAAGTGTCCTTTCTAATCGACATAAAATCCTATTTATAAAGATTTAAGATTTTCAATATATGCAGTAGATTATTGTACAATTGTACATGGTGTGTGGGAGTAACTTAAATACAAATCAATTTGACACACATATATGTACGTATGTGTATATAATCCAATTATATTTCACAATTCAGGGAATTAATTTTCTCTTATTTTTTTTTTCTTTCGGTTGTATAACGCGATTTATTCCAAGAAATTTTTCAAATGAAAAAATCATTTATGAAATTTTTATCGTTTAAAATTATAATGGACAGTTTCTGCCTGAATTACGATTAGTTAAATTAAATTTTATTAGAAAATATTTTTTCTTTTTTTGGAAATAGAAATTTAAATTTAATTTTCACTCTTATGAATTTTATTAAGGTTTGTATTACGTACGTACGTATATAGAATTAGAATAATATTAGCTAGGGGGTATAAAAGTTTTGCCAGATATTATGGGTATAATTTCATTTTATGGCTTTGTTTTTGTAAAATATTTTATTTATAAAAATAAATTTTTAATTTTATACTTACTTTAAAGTCAATATATCCATTTTTATCCATGTCAAACGTTCGGAAGACATGATCACAAAATTCTTCTGCATTCCCAGAAGGGAAGAACATTTTGTACATATCGACAAATTTGGCTGGTGTTAAACGACCATTTGGACAGTCTTGCTGAAATTATAAATAAAAATAATAATAAAGAACAAATTTTTGTTTTGAGGTTTTGGCAAAATTTTTTAATCATTTTCGAATAAAGAAAATTTTTTCGGAACTTATTCGTGCTGTGGACTGAAAATATTTTATATCTAATAAATTGTAGCTTAAGAATCATAACGTATGTGGTTCAATTAGATGTTCCAATGAATAAACTACAGTCAAAATTTAGGGGGTGTATGGTAAATCTTAAAAATTGGGTTTGTTCGAATTGTTCGACACTATATCAATCTGTTCGTGTCTATAGAAATTAGATTTAGATTTTTACATTTCAAGTGTAAATGTTTAAATTTTTACACAATAAACAATGAAAACAACAACTAGTTTCACTTTACAATTTTTCAGTATAAAATTTAGAATGTGTGCAAAACAAATGAGATTTTATAGCAGATTATGAGATTGAGAGGGAAAGATCAGTTTTATTTTTCGATTCTGCAAAATTTCAATAAAATTTAAAATTTAATTTTCTGTTTTCTTTTATAAATAATTTAAATTTCATAATTACATTTAAAATGAGGTTATGTAGGTGTACTCAAACAAAAAATAACAACAACACAAAATTACATTTTTAAAATATTTAAAAATTAAAAAAAAAAGGATCAAATCGTCCATATTTTATTCATTAAATAAAAATGATTCATTAAATTTTATTTAATTTTTAAATTATTTTACTGTAATTATGGTTATTTTTTTCATATAATATTAAAAAGAAAAATTTTTGTTCGAGATGATGGCAATTAGACAGATGAATATTACATTTTTCAAAAAAAAAAAAAAGGACAGAGAGATTGTTTTTGCGTTTTGGAGATTTTTGACTAATAACAACAATAAAGGACGAACATTTTGAATAATTTTTGTTTTATCTCTTTTTTCTTTGGGTATAATTAATTTTTTTTTTTTTTATTCAATTTAAAATGAAATATGCAAATAGGATGTTTTGTTCAACGTCGCCTCTCTTATAACCCCAGAAAAAATGGTCATGGGATGAAATTAAATTTCGGTGTTTTCTTCAGATTTTTTGTTATATAATTACTAAATTATTTCACGCAAGATTACCAAATATTTGTGTTAGTTTAAAGGGAAGTCAATTATTTCTCAATGTTTCTTTTAGATTGATTAACCTCCAATTCCAAATTACAATTAAAGGCTGAAAAAGAAACTGGAACGTTTTGTAACGGCGAAGTATTTAAGGATGATTATTTGAGTCCTTACAATTTTTATAGTTTCACAGATTAAGTAATTGTTGGAGTATACCAAAAGTTAAGTAATTTGGGATAAGATAAACAAAAAATTCAACAATTTTTAGGCAAAACAATTTCGTTTACGAGCCTTTTTCCTCTTTGGAACTGTACAAAAATAAATGAAATTAAATTCAAAGGATAATTGAAACCATTAGACTCTTGTAAATATTAAGAAAGTAAAAAAAGTGTTAAAAAGATCTTTTAGGATAGCATGTTTTTGGTCTTTTAAGATAATAGCACTCTAACAAGAGTTTAGTTAGGATCGTAATATCAAATGTATGACGAATAAAAAAAAATTTGAACAAAATACGAGATAATCATTATTTCTTGTCAAGCGGTGATTAATCTCATTTTGTCGCCATACTTTTGTCCTTCGTTATCCTTCACATGTTTTCTCAAAGTAAAATAATTTCATTTTTTCTTTGTTTTTAATTTATAGAAGAAAATTTCAGTTTTCATTTGATTTCTGTTTTTTTTCACATTTTGTCTTATTGTGAATGAAAGTTTCCTATATATTTTTAAATTTCATTCACAATATTTTTTTTTTGTTTCACCTCACTTACTTATTCTAACCATTATTTCTATCTCTTTCATATTATTAAGGGTTTTTTTTTTCTTTAATAAAAAAAGAAGGAAAAAATAGAAACAACTTGGTTACAAGAAAATTTTAGAAAAAGGAAAATGTAATAATAATAATAAGAGAAGAAAAAGGAACCATCATTAAAATCTCATGGGGAAAATTTAGTAACAAATAAATGAGTGAAACCAGTAAAGGCAACAAGAATAAAAAAAAGTAGAAGAAAAAATATACACAAGTCGAATTAAACTGACTGAAACCATATCCGTAAAATTCCAAAGCATCACTTTCATATTATTTGTATATAACATCTTTAGTTATTAAGACAGGATGTAGATAAATATTATATTTAGAAATATAGATAGAAATTCACATATACATATACATGCAAACATATACACAGTGTTATTTCTTAATATTAATTTAATGTTATTTATTCAGTAAAATATAACAAATATATATTGTAGGTATGTATGTATAATCTATTGGGATGACATAGAAACAACATTTGGTAGAGAAAATTGGTAAGATGAAATCGTTTAGCATGAAACAGAAAAAAAAATTAGGAAAAAAATTAAAGTAAAAAATTAAAAACCTAAAAAATATAAAGGATAAAATTCAAATTAAATGCAAAAAAAAAATTTAAATTAAGAAAAAAAATAAAATGCTCAATACAAAAATGGTTGATTTGAGGATCCCTTTACGCTATTCTAAATTTTATTCTTGTAAAGCAATTATTTTAATCATATCAGATTCGGCAGATGCTAAAAAAGGAGTCGAACTTGGTGAATGTACCAACCAAAGATGCAACTTTGAAATTAGAAATTTTTCCTAAAGATTTTAAAATCATAAGCAGGAATTTTAATCCTGAACTTAATTCCGGCACATTCAATTTTTACATGAGTGTTGAGCTTTTATTATCTTGAAGTTTATAATTGATTTCACACCTTTGGGATTGAAAGATCATCAGTATATGTACAATATGTCAAATGATTGAATAAATTGGAAAAATTTTCAAAAATTTTCTATTTTTCAATTTGAAAAATACCTTAAGGGTGTTCTAAAAAAAAAATTCTTTATTACCATTATAAATATGTAATGCATATAAAAACCACATTAGTAAAATTCAAATAATATATTTAAAATTTTAACAAACATAAATAAAATATTTTGACAGGCTTTTTCCATTTTCAAAGCTATCAATTTTCAAAAAAAAAAAAAATTAAAACCTATAAAACATTTCATTTTTTGTGTTCTGCTTTTTTTTACTCTCCTCTTGCATACGAATATTAATTTGTTGGTTGTATCCTACGCCAATTTTTAGAAACAACAGCAACAACAACAACAAGAAATTATTCTAAGGACATTCATTTCACTTTAACTTAAATTTAAAAACTTTATAATTTTTCTTTTATTTAAAAAGTTTAAAAAAATAAAGAGAAAAGAAGGCAAAAAAAAAAAGAATTCGACAGTCGACTTCTTTTTTTTTGTGGTTGTTCTTGTAAAACTGTTATAGAAGTAAAATTAAAAGAAAAAATAATTTCTCTGCACACATAAGTCTTCATTAAGAAAAATAATTTTATTTTTCCAATGGTTCTGTTCCCAGCCAACTTTTTCAGAAAAAAAAAAAAATTTTTTTATGTTAAAACTGAAGAATATAGGGGAAAAATCAGAAGAACAAGCGGCGAGAAAAAAATCAACAACATGATTTACAATTTTGCAAAAAAAAATAAAAAAACTTCTAATGATCCTAATTGAATTATGAAGCGTAAATGAAGAAGTTTTTTCTTTTATTTTTTTTTTTACAAAATCACAAACCACAAAACGAAAAACAACATAAAAATAATAACGAAATCTCGGCGAAAGGCAGTAAAATTTTGCAAACAAATTTTAGGCACCTTATACCTTATATACATACTATACAAGAGTAGAACCAGAAAAATGTTAAAGTTAAAAGTTTTTGCATGTTTATTTTATAGAAACCAAGAGAAATAAATCTTTATTTTATTTATAATTGTATATGTATGTATGAATGTACACATAAATATAAATTTAGTCTAAGTTATGAAGAAAAAAAACAATATTACTTAAAAAATAGTCTGTCAGTCTACGGTACACGAGTTTAATTAGTAACCAGAAGAAATGACAAAAAAAAAATTTTCCATGAATTTCAAATTTTGTTCGTCTAATTATGCGAAAGCGTTTATAACGTTAATGAGAGTATTGCAGTGTTAGAAATAATGTCTTAATTAATTTCAAAGACTATGAGTAATTTCTTAAAAAAAAAAATAAAACATTAATAATGAGTTTGCTTAAAATTTGTCCATTGGTGGGTCAAGTATTTGAAATTTTTAATGCTTATTTTAAATTTAAAAATTTTTATTAACTTTTAAAATAATTTCAATTGTGAATGACGACATTCTTCTGTGCATTCTGACATTACTGATTTCATTTAAATGTTAATCAAAGTGTTTGTCAAGCTGTGCTTTCAAACATAATAAGCACATCAAGTTCTATACCACGTATATTACTAAAACCATTTTTATAGCGTAAATTATACTTTTTTGCCGAATGAGTTTAAAATTGGTATAAGGTTGTTCTTCTTTCGAATAAAATCACTAATCTTCATGATTCTGTTTTTCATGATTTAGCAGACGAATCAAATTCGAAATCCCGAAGAATCCAATAAAATTTTCGTACCGAATTTTTTTGCGTTGTATTTATTTCATTAATTGAATATTTTTTGTTAAATAAAGTGAAACAATGAAAAAAATCGCTCCTATAAAGTTGTTTTTAGAGATCATCAGTATCCAAACTATATATGGCTAGTTCACGTGTCCCCCAAGGACAGTAATTTAGTAGCCCTTCTCTTTTTATTCTTTCAAACAACGATGTTGTTTCGGTTATCAAATATAGTAAACTATTAATTCATGAGGATGACATGAAGTTTTTAAAAAAAATTGTGAATCCAAATTAATGCTTTCTTGCTACAGCAAAATCTTGCATCTTTTTCTGTATGATGTTCTAAAAACAATCTAACCTGTAATGTGGATAAGTCTTCTATAATGACCTTCATTCGTCGTAATTTCGATTTACTTTATAATTGGAGAGATATTGATAAAATCTACTTTAGTTAAGGA